ATATATATATATATAATTGCAAATGTGGTTTTAGTGGCATGCAGGTTGAGGAGCCCTTGGTTGCTGACAGACCCCAGTGGGACACGGATGCAGCCATGGCGAAGATCAAGGCCACAGCCATGATGTCCAGTGATGCAGAGTATGAGGCTTTACCGCAGTTGCAGTCAAAGCTGCGACTCAGCTATATGGCTGTTAGCACGGACTACGTACATGTATATATACACACACGTGTTATACCATCATCCTATATGTGTACGTCTGTCTGTCTGTCACTCTTCCGAGCTCTGTTTTGCGGTACCTACAACAAACTGAGGCGAGCTGCTGCAAAAGCTCAGGCGGCGAAGGAACCCGAAAAGGGAACGACGAAACCAGGTGGCCGTGGCCGTGGTCCGGGATCGCGCGGTGGGAGAGGCCGCGGTGGCCGTGGCCGGGGCGGGCGTGGCCCTGGATGCACGACTCCTTCAGTAGGAGACGGAGACGACAAGGGTGAGAAGAAGCCAGAGGAGGGTGAGAGTGGGAAGTCCAAAACGGGCAAGAGGGCAGCACTTGCTGCGATCAAGAACAATGAGGATGAGAGCTCGAAGAGGCGAGAGGTTCAACTATATATGCATATATATAAATAAATATATATATATATATGTATATATATATATATATAGTATTAGTATCTACTATTATGCACTACTACTACTACTACTACTACTACTAGTACTACTACTACCACTTCCACTATTAGTACTAGTACTAGTTAGTACTACTACTACTATTACCACTATCACTAGTAGTAGTAGTAGTAGTAGTAGTAGTACTACTACTACTACTACTACTACTACTACGACGACTACTACTACTACCACTACTAGTGCAACTACTATTACCATTACCACTACTACTACTACTACTATACTACCGCACCGATACTCACACAGGTGTTTACTGCTTCTTAACTCTTGTGTGTGTCTCTCGAGTTTGTATGATAATTAAGTATCGGACTGCAAGTTTGGATTTCAGGCTTGCAGCGGAGGCCTCCGATTCCGGTGGCAAGCCCAAGAAGGCCAAGGAGCAGAAACCCACAGCGAGTGGGGGATCTGCGGAGGATCCGGAGCCACCCGTGATCGGGAAGAAGAGGAAACGCTGCAGTGCCAAAGATTTCGATATCCAGATTCCGGCTTTCGAAAACTACCTCGCTTCTAGCCGAAACAATTACACATGATCATGTCACACCTTCGAATCGACCATTTTTGCACATGTGCTACTGCTGCAGATCATGCCGTACTGGAACCGTGGATGTGTTGGTGTGGTCTTCAAGGACAAGGATAGCAACAAGAAGAAGCAGGCACGGACAACATTTCGTTTGTGCTCAACATGTACACAGGCATGTAGTTATATATGTATGCATGTAGTCGACCTCTGCTGTTCTACTGGTGCAGGTTTTGCACGTTGGCGGCAAAAGCATTGATACGGAGCACTTGAAACCACTGATTGAGTTGTGCATTGACTCAGCATCTATGAGGCACTTAAACCGTCTTTGAAATTTGCAAGTGCATTCGCTGCAAACTTTTAGGTGCAACTTTAAATCCCGAGGTCAGGAAGCTCGAAGCTGGTACGGCTTTCTTTGATGTGTGGCGATATTTCGAGTCCGAGAAGAAGGTTCTGTTGCAAAAGCAAGCAGCAGCGATGCTGCCTGCCCGTGAGCAGGATACCGTGGGGAATGCAGTGTGAGATGTGTACATGTATAGCGATCAAACGCTCAGTTCGATGCCGTTCTGATACAGATCGGGTCCGAGCTACGAGCATCGATGGGTGGAGTGGGTACGTGGCGGGAAACTCGATACTGGATATAGGGCTTCGAGGGCAATAGAATAAGTGTGCCACTGCTGTGCCACCCAGATCCGCTTTAATCTTTGAAGTCCAAAATTCATTTCAGAGCACTGCAGCCAGCCGCAAGGGGTTCATTGTGAGGCATTAAAGACTTCGATTCGATACGTCCGAGCGCATGATTCGAATGCATTGCAAGGTCGAGTAGGAGTTGTGAATGCATGTGTGCATACTATGCCGGATATGCAGCTGGGCCCAGGCCACAAATTTTGCGGTGGAACAGAGGTAGCACATAGTGGGGTCATGACTCTCGAACTTTCCAAAGTTGAAGTGACCCTGCTTCTGGCCTTGGGCGCTCCGGGTATTTTGTGTCCTAGATGCACCTTAAACATGCACACTCGACCCATACATGATATCGAAGTTTCGATGCCCCATCTGGCTCAGGATACACCTGTTGGATTTCATTTGCCAGATCAGCAACAAAGCTTTTCACAACCAGGCCTGTGGATTCAAGGGGTTGGTATCTCGTTTGCATGGAGTTATATGTAATATACCCCTAGGCCTGCTAAACCCTACACCCTGAACCCTATATATATATATATATGTATATATATATATACATATGTATTTATATTTTGTACTGCTATTATAATACTTATAATTATATAGTTCATCGCTAGTAATTACGATCTCCCTCTCTCTCTCTCTCT